GCTTATTATATGATTTTCTAACACATAGACAACAAGCCGTATTTATGGGTGATGAACAATCTGAATATCAATACACTAGTTCGGGCGTTCCTCAGGGTTCTATACTCTCGCCTTTGCTTTATGCTTTATATACATCAAACTTTAACCAAGGGGTTATGCATTGCAAGACCCATTTTTACGCCGACGACACGCAAATATACTATTCTTTTCCGGCTCATGATATAAAACAGGCTTGTGTGCGAATTAATAGTGATCTAGAATATTTGCGTATCACCTCAAGCCGACATGGACTTAAAATTAATCAGAAAAAATCAAACGTTATTATGTTTGGTCCTCAGAAACAAAAACAAAAAGTCATTAATGACTTACAAATTTGTGTAAATAACGAATTACTACCTATTCAAAAAACAGTAAAAAACTTAGGCATTTTAATCGATGAGGGCCTTACTTTTAATGAACACGTCAATAAATGCGTTCAAAGAGCTTACAGTAGCCTTAGAATTATTTATACTAACAGAGCCTTTGTTAATCATAGTGCAAAAGTGCGCCTATGCGAAAGTTTAGTACTATCAATGTTTAATTATGGCGATGCATTGTATGCACCCTTTCTGTCCTATGCATTGAAGAGGAAAATTCAAAAGGTACAAAACACCTGTATCAGACTAATTTTTGGGTTGAAACGCAGAGATCACGTCAGCTGTAAGCTGCCGGTTTTAAAGTGGTTGAACATGCAGAGGAGAAGAATGTTGCATGCTGTAGGTTTTTACCATAAATTACTCACTCTACATAAACCAGCGTATCTTGTAAAAAAGTTGTCTTTTCGGGGTGACGTGCACTCGGTTAATGTGAGGTTTAAGGGAAGGCTATCTCCACCAATATTCCACACTATGAGTTTTAAAAAATGCTTCCCTTCTGGTTGCGCATTGACAGAGTGTGGGTCTGCCGCCACCGCCAGGAGGCGCTATGCTGATTTTCTGTTTGGGCAGCAGTGTTCGCAATCTCTTAATAGTCACAGATCTTGCTTTTGCGTTTGAATGTTTTTGTAATCTTTTTGTTCTACCTAAATTTGTTCTTAATTTCTGGGGAACCCTTTTGAGTACTGACATGGTATCGATAACGACTTGTTGTGGCCCTTGGTAGTATTCACCTAAGTATTATATGTTAAAACTTAGTAGTTAAAACTTTTGTTTTGTTTATAGCTTTATACCGTTGTCGCGATTCTTTTTTTTATATTTAACACGCTATACTGTTTTTTTTTCTCTTTATATACTTTATGGTGAGGTGGAAGAACAATATATATTGAATCTCACCATAAGATAGATCAGTTGTTTATTGGAAACCATTTTTAGTTCTTTATTCTGAAGTGTAGTACATTGTGATCAATAAATATTATTATTATTATTATTATTAATAGTTTGCCGTCTCTTAATTTGGATTTTTATAAGCATAATGCATGTCAAAATCAATTTGTGTTTAAAAATGTAAGTGAAGCAGAGGTGCGATCTGTTCTGGCTTCTATCACATCCGCTTCAGTTGGGTGATCTTGAAGATCTTAGACCAATAATTATTCTTCCAATGTTATCTAAGGTGCTTGAAAAAATTATGCAGCAGCAGTTGGTGAGTTACGTGGAGAGGTCACCACTTGCGTTCATTTCAGGCACATTAAACGCACATCCTTGTATGGACAACGTTTTGGAACCGGTGTTAGTACCTTTCATGCAGACGTTGCAGAATGCCACATTCCAGCAGGATAATGCAAAATCCCATACTGCTGAGGAGTTACTCGAGGCTGTCCACAAGGAGGTGTACTATCCCCACTTTTGTGGAACCTCACCCTGGATAGGCTCTTGAACCACATCGCAGAAGCCAACTTTATCACAGTTGGTTACGCAGATGATTTAACCATTCTTGTCAAAGGCAAGTATATAAACGTGCTGTTTGATAGGATGCAAGTAGCTCTTAAATTGATAGAGACCTGGTGTGACGAACAAAGACTCCCTGTGAATCCTAAGAAGACAGAGTTGATTCTTTTCACACGGATGAGGAAGGTTGGCAAGCCCAGAATGCCATCCCTTGCTAATACTCCATTGGCATTGTCAAAAGAAGTTAAATATCTGGGCATCACGCTTGACAATAAAATGACATGGAGAGCCCACCTAGATAATAGAGTTAAAAAAGCGTACGTTGCATTCGGTCAATGCCGGAGGGCTATAGGTAAGACATGGGGTTTGTCACCCAAAAATGCCCTCTGGATTTACACGGCTGTAATCCGACCTATGCTTACATATGGTGCAGTAGTATGGTGGTCAAAGACCCTACAGTCTACATCTACTGCTGCACTTATTAAAGTACAGAGACTTGCGTGTTTGTATGTTACAGGTGCGCTGCGGACTACCCCCACTGCAGCCATGGAAAACATGTTAAACCTAACGCCACTTCATTTGTTCATCCAAGAGGTGGCATTGGTGACCATGACTCGACTGCGAGCAGCAGGAATTCTAATGGGNCGATAAGTAACTGTACATCCGCTAAATTCGGCTTCGTAATCCGTCCATGTTAATATTTTAGCAGTTGGAAGGTATGGGTCAAGACTAAACGTAACAGCGTTTATATCATCCTCGGATGGCGGTGCTAAATTCGATAGTGTTCGTAATTAGTTATAGTTTGTAGACTAATATTTTAATTTTATATCTACCTTCGATATGATCGGATATTACTTTCTCCAACCCGTTTACTCCCGACACTATAGGCATCAATTTAACTGTGTTATCTTTACATGGATTAGTCAATTCATCGGTAAATTTAAAAGTGTTGGTGATTAAATCAGGTTGAATTGGTATATCGTTTACTGTAAGACGGTAAGTAACTGTACATCCGCTAAATTCGGCTTTGTAATCCGTCCATGTTAATATTTTAGTAGTTGGAACGTATGGGTCAAGACTAAACGTAACAGCGTTAATATCATCCTCGGATGGTGGTGCTAAATTCGATAGTGTTCGTAATTAGTTATGTACTCACTTTCGTATGAAATCCACCACCCACTAAAATTCAAACTACAATTTGCAACCATGCAGTCAGACAGATAATATAAAGCTCTGAATTTGAGGGATCGCGCAATAATGAAATGCAGGAAGACTCGCAGTCGTGGTAATTGGGATTACTACAAATCTCTGCGTAACTACACCACTGCAGCTGTGAGGAATGAAAAACGTGTTTATTTTGCTTATTTGACAGAACAAGGAAGTTCTAAACAGATATGGAATGATGTTAGAGGACTTGGGGTTATGACGGTATTAACACTAAACGAGCTTGTGAATAGTTTGCCGCCTCTTAATTTGGATTTTTATAAGCATAATGCATGTCAAAATCAATTTGTGTTTAGAAATGTAAGTGAAGCAGAGGTGCGATCTGTTCTGGCTTCTATCACATCCGCTTCAGTTGGGTTATCTTGAAGATCTTAGACCAATAATTATTCTTCTAATGTTATCTAAGGTACTTGAAAAAATTATGCAGCAGCAGTTGGTGAGTTACGTGGACTTGCGTTCATTCTAGGCACATTAAACGCACGTCCTTGTATCGAATACGTTTTGGAACCGGTGTTAGTACCTTTCATGCAGACGTTGCAGAATGCCACATTCCAACAGGATAATGCAAAATCCCATACTGCTGTGAGATGGAGCAAGTTGGAATGCAGATTTTTGCCCTGGCCTGCATGGTCACTGTACTAGTCACCGATTGAACATGTCTGGGATATGATGGGTCGGCGACTAAGACAAGTACCCAGGCCTCTTGAGAATCTCGATGAACTTCGACACCATCTAGAGGTTGTATGGAACGAGATACCTCAGGAGGACATCGACCTTAATAGAATGGCTAGAAGAGTTAATGCATGTATAGCTGCGCGTAGGGATATAACCCACTACTAGCTTTTTCTTTGTAAATGATAATTTTTCTTTTGTTTTTTTCAACTAAACTTTCATCGTTTCTTACAATTAGTTGATAATAAAGCATTATTTTACCGAAGTTTCAAAATTGTAGTTTAATTCTTAATGGGTGTATTTCATGTGAAAGTGGGTGTAGTTTGGAGATTTATATTTTAATTTTATAACTACCTTCTATATGATCGGATATTACTTTCTCCAACCCGTTTACTCCAGACACTATAGGCATCAATTTAACTGTGTTATCTTTACATGGATTAGTCAATTCATCGGTAAATTGAAAAGTGTTGGTGATTAAATCAGGTTGAATTGGTATATCGTTTACTGTAAGACGGTAAGTAACTGTACATCCGCTAAATTCGGCTTCATAATCCGTCCATGTTAATATTTTAGCAGTTGGAACGTATGGGCCAAGACTAAGAGCAACAGCATTAATCTTATCCTTGGATGGCGGTACTAAATCCAATAAATTCCATTATTTGTCGAAGATTCAATTTAATTTCTTACCTTCTACATCATCTGTCAGCTCGTTTTTCGTTCCAAAAATTCCTTCGACTATGGGGATCAATATAATTTCATTATCTTTACACTGTTTAGTCAATCCGTTCTTAAAATAGTAATGATTGGTTTCTAAATCGGGAACAACTTCTTGGTCATTTACGATAAGTCGGTATTTAACAGTGCATCCATTAAATGTTTCTGCAATGTTCGTCCATTCCAACATATTTATCGTATGATCATATGATTGTACTTTAATTATAGCATTTCTAACTTCATCTTCTGTAGGTGGAACTGTATACATACAAAGTTAATCCTATTCAAATAATTATTAGTATAGACATACCTAAATATGATAAAAAAACTGCATCACTAATAGCTTCATTTCCTACAGCACTTATTCCAACATCAACGTTTGTGCAATATTTCGGCAGTCGTGAAATAGTGAAAAACGTATCTGTTGTCTCATATTGTATAGGGTTAATGTCTCCGTCCATAGTAACCTCAAGAGCATAATAAACATGGCAATTTGATGGAGTGGGTGACCATTGTATGACGATGTGATTCTCTTTTTTTGTCACTTTTAAATTGGACGGCGGCTCAATGTCTATAAATTGATACATTTGTGTTATATTATATATTTATATATTAATACATACTTAAACATGAATCCTCAGCAGATGGCACAACAGCCACTATAATTCCAATTATTATTCCTGTCGAAGCAGCAGCTATCACAGTTGCAATAATTGCTAACAAATAAAAAAAGAATTATATGAAATTAATTAATAATATACACCTAATGCCGAGAGTGAAGGAAATATACATGGAGACTATGGCTAGAATAAAAGTGGGAGATAAGCTGAGCGACGTATTCTGGACTGTATATGGCGGACCTGGAGTATAGACTGAGGAAGGGGCAGATGGGAGGGTTGGTGGTGGGAGGTAGAAAGGTGCATATGTTAGCATACGCGGATATGATAAAAACATTGGAAAGATATTTTAGGGGGAAGACAAGGATGATGAAGTTTTGTAAGGATGGGAGAAAAAGAACAGAAAACTGGAGATGGGATGGAAAGGACATCGAGGAGGTTAGGGAGTATACTTACTTGTGGTATGTGTTTAGGGAGGATAACAGGGAGGGGTCGCATGTGATAGCTATGGCAAAAAAGGCGAATAAAGTGATGGGACAANTAATCCGACCTATGCTTACATATGGTGCAGTAGTATGGTGGTCAAAGACCTTACAGTCTACATCCACTGCTGCACTTAATAAAGTACAGAGACTTGCGTGTTTGTATGTTACAGGTGCGCTGCGGACTACCCCCACTGCAGCCATGGAAAACATGTTAAACCTAACGCCACTTCATTTGTTCATCCAAGAGGTGGCATTGGTGACCATGATTCGACTGCGAGCAGCAGGAATTCTAATGGGTGAGAGAAACAGTAAAAATGCCAACCTCTGGAACGAAATGGTGGAATACTCACCAATTCTGGGTTGTATAACGGACATTACACCCCTACAACACATTTTTACGAAGTAATATCTCACCCACCCAAGTTCCACAGAAGTAGAGGTAAAAAACAGCCTTAAAATCTACACTGATGGTTCAAAGAGACGGGAAGGAGCTGGAGCCGGAGTCTTCCACCACCGTCATACAGGCGGAATTAATCGCCATACAACTTGCCGCTGACGTTATTGTCAGATCCAACTTGGTAGGTAAGACTTTTACAATTTATACTGACAGTAGAGTAGACAAGCTATTTTGGCCCTGAGTAGAATAACAATTACTTCAGGACTTGTTATGGGTTGTCATCTGACATTGGAGAAGGCCGTAGTGCATAACTGTGTTATACTTCAATGGATAAAAGGACACTCGACTTGTTCAGGTAACAAGCACGCTGATAGGTTTGCCAAAAGGGCTGCCATGTTCGCCTGAACCAATAATCGCTCCGTCCTTATCAACTCAGATTGAGATAATTACAGATTTTACCCACAAAAAGTTTATGAACTGGTGGGATAGGGTTAAGGGCTGCCATCTGTCTAAGGAAGTATGACATTATCCTTCAATAGAGGCAGCCTTGTCTTTCGTAAGGCTTTACGAACTGTAACGGGACTCGTCACGGGTCACTGTAAGGTAAACAAGCATCTTTATAACCTTAAGCTTGCTGTAAAGAGAGCGAGGAGACGGTCCGACACATCTTGTGTGAATGCCCCACTCTGCAAGACCTCAGAATGAGAGACTTCGGAGACCATAGATGGCATCAGGAACACACCTCTGAGATGTATCCTAGCCTTCGGAAATTCCTTAGGCTGGTTGATGTAGCCGGAGAGAGTGTAGGAGGGCGTACAAGGGGCCCGTTGGGGCCTCGGTGCTGTATGCGTAAGCATACCCTCCGCTTTCCTACATACATCCCATACTGCTGTGGTTACAAGAAGTTTCCTGGAGCAGGTTGGAATGCAGATTTTTGCCCTGGCCTGTACTAGTCACCGATTGAACTTGTCTGGGATATGATGGGTTGGCGACTAAGACAAGTACCCAGGCCTCCTGAGAATCTGGATGAACTTCGACACCATCTAGAGGTTGCATAGAACGAGATACCTCAGGAGGACATCGAAACTTAATAGAAAGCATGGGTAGAAGAGTCAATGCATGCATAGCTGCGCGTAGAGTACTAGCTTTTTCTTAAAAAATGATAATTTTTCTTTCATCGTTTCTTACAATTAGTTGATAATAAAGCATTATTTTACCGAAGTTTCAAAATTGTAGTCTAATTCTTAATGGGTGGTGTATTTCATGTGAAAGTGAGTGCAGTTTGGAGACTAATATTTTAATTTTATATCTACCTTCGATATGATCGGATATGATTTTCTCCAACCCGTTTACTCCAGACACTATAGGCATCAATGTAACTATGTTATCTTTACATTGTTTAGTCAATTCATCGGTAAATTTAAAAGTGTTGGTGATTAAATCAGGTTGAATTGGTATATCGTTTACTGTAAGACGGTAAGTAACTGTACATCCGCTAAATTCGGCTTCGTAATCCGTCCATGTTAATACTTTAGCAGTTGGAACGTATAGTCCAAGACTAAGAGCAACAGCATTAATCTTATCCTTGGATAGCGGTACTAAATCCAATAAATTCCATTATTTGTCAATGATTCAATTTAATTTCTTACCTTCTACATCATCTGTCAGCTCGTTTTTCGTTCCAAAAATTCCTTCGACTATGGGGATCAATATAATTTCATTATCTTTACACTGTTTAGTCAATCCGTTCTTAAAATAGTAATGATTGGTTTCTAAATCGGGAACAACTTCTTGGTCATTTACGATAAGTCGGTATTTAACAGTGCATCCATTAAATGTTTCTGCAATGTTCGTCCATTCCAACATATTTATCGTATGATCATATGATTGTACTTTAATTATAGCATTTCTAACTTCATCTTCTGTAGGTGGAACTGTATACATACAAAGTTAATCCTATTCAAATAATTATTAGTATAGACATACCTAAATATGATAAAAAAACTGCATCACTAATAGCTTCATTTCCTACAGCACTTATTCCAACATCAACGTTTGTGCAATATTTCGGCAGTCGTGAAATAGTGAAAAACGTATCTGTTGTCTCATATTGTATAGGGTTAATGTCTCCGTCCATAGTAACCTCAAGAGCATAATAAACATGGCAATTTGATGGAGTGGGTGACCATTGTATGACGATGTGATTCTCTTTTTTTGTCACTTTTAAATTGGACGGCGGCTCAATGTCTATAAATTGATACATTTGTGTTATATTATATATTTATATATTAATACATACTTAAACATGAATCCTCAGCAGATGGCACAACAGCCACTATAATTCCAATTATTATTCCTGTCGAAGCAGCAGCTATCACAGTTGCAATAATTGCTAACAAATAAAAAAAGAATTATATGATATTAATTAATAATATACACTTAATTGCGAGAGTTAAGGAAATATACATGGAGACTATGGTTAGGATAAAAGTGGGAGATAAGCTGAGCGACGTGTTCTGGACTGTATACGGCGGACCTGGAGGATAGACTGGGGAAGGGGCAGATGGGAGGGATACGCGGATGACATCGTTGTCATGGCGAAAGAAGCGGAAGGATATGATAAAAACATTGGAAAGATATTTTAGGGGGAAGACAAGGATGATAAAGTTTTGTAAGGGTGGGAGAAAAAGAACAGAAAACTGGAGATGGGAGGGAAAGGAGATCGAGGAGGTTAGGGAGTATACTTACTTGGGGTATGTGTTTAGGGAGGAGTCGCATGTAATAGCTATGGCAAAAAAGGCGAATAAGGTGATGGGACAAGTATGGGGTTGGGGGATGAGAGTCTTTGGAAGGAATGTGGCAGCGAGGCATATTATGTTTGAAGGTCTGGTTAGCAGTGAGATGATGTATGGGGCAGAGGTATGAGGATGGAGGACGTGCAAGCTAGATATTGGAGATGGATGCTTGGGGTGGCGAGAGAAAGACCGGGGTTTATAGTGAGGGAAGAGGTAAAGGTGGATGAGGTCAGAGTGGAGGCGGGCAGGAGGGCAGTGAAATATGAAGAAAGAATAGAAGGGAGGCCAAACTGCGGGATCTTGGGGGAGTGTTGGAGGGAAATTAGAGAGGGAAAGGTCAGATATGGGAAAGGAGACAGAGACAACTATTATAGACGAGCGGGCTACTCGGTACTTAAGATAAATGGTAGACGAAGGGTGGGTAGGAAGATGTGGAGGGAGTTGAGAGATAGGGACCGAGATGTACAGAGACAGGAAAGAACGACACAAATAAAAGAGGGAAGGTACAGGGACTTAATTACGGAGGGACTGCCTAGATACTTGTTATAGGAAGGAGATGAGGAAGGGAAGAAGTTGGTGGCTAGGTTCCGTTGTGGAAACGAGGAGAGAGCTAACAGATACTAGATGGCCGATGAGGAGAAGTGGTGTAGGCTGTGCAGGGAGGAATCGGAAACGTTGGAATATATGTTGAATGGGTGCAGTGAGTTGAGGAAAGAGGAGATGGTCCTAGGGCAGATCTTAGGAGAGGGGGGAGAGGGGAAACGATGGATGAGAATGGTTGTGGGGGTGAGGAGACAAAGGGATGGATGAGGGGATGATTGGCCGAGGAGCCGAGGTTGTGGAAATGGAGGACAGATTGTTGTATTCAATAAACTCTTAATTAATTAATAATATATTTTGATTGCGTATATATTATATGCGTATGGCGGGGGATAGGACGGGGGAATATATAACAATGGGAGGGGATTTCAATGCTAGAGTGGGCGAGGAGGGGGGAAGGGTGGAGATATGGGGAGAGTAGGGACGACGACGGTCGAAGGATACTGTGCGGAATGGAGAAGGAACAGAAATGCTGAGATGGGTGGAGGAGAACGGATGGGAGATACTGAATGGAAATAAAGAGGAAGGGGAGTATACGTACATCGGGGCGAGGGGGACATCTGTGATTGATTATGTACTGGTGGATCAGGAAATGTGGGAGAGGGTGGAAAGGTTTAAAGTGGGAGAAGCGGTAGAGTCGGATCACCAACCGTTGGAGGTGGAGGTAAAGGGGGTGGGCGGCAGAAGGCGAGCGGAAATGGGGAGCAAGTTCATCAGGACAGATTGGTCGGAAGAAGGGGTAGCATTCTACAGGGGAAACCTAGACACTTGGCAACAGAAGATACAAGAGATCAATGGTTTGGAAGAACTTATCCAGGTAGTGCGGGAGGCAACACTGAAAAGGGAGTGTGTACGTAGGGG